ATAAAACTTATAATTTTATTCTTGTTAACTAAATAAACTTTCTAATAAATAGCATGTCAAGTTGATTGGATTTAAGTCATAGCTACTGTCTCTCTGACTTCAAATTATAGTTAACTTATTCAACAGAAAGAATAACGTTAACACTGTGATCATCCTCTATATTGCGAAATTTGTGTAGAAGTTTCTGATCTGAAGTTGAAACACTTTCCATATCACGTCTTTGGTGTAGAATTATTCTATTCTTAGAAAGTCTTATGATACGTTATTAGAAAGATTCTCTAGACTTTTTTAATAAATATTTTTTATGTACACAAGCACGCTGAGCCTCCTCTTTAACCACTAAACGTGTCTCAAGTTCTTTATGAGTCTCTTCAGCTACTTTATACTGCTTATTATTTTTCTTATTTTGATTATATACCAAATACACCTCATGAGTCTCTTCAGTCACTTTCTGCTTTTTGTCTGTATCACGTGAATGTGGTGCCTTATTTTCTTTATCATTCTTTTTGAATGAATTTGCAGAAATTTGTTTTATGAATTATGTATATAAAACACGTTTTACATTATTTATTTTAAAGACAAGAATAAGAAGTGCAATCAGAAACGTTAAGCATTATCAACTATCTTATCATATTATAATTAGACATAGACATTATTAAATTGTAAATTTTATTAAATAAATTAAATGAAATATCAAGTATAAAAAAATATTTGAAAAATGTACGCAAATAAAAGAAATGTTCACAATTTGACACGTTTAATAAAAAAAAAGTAATTCAAATCACTAACTGAGAAACATTCTTTGATATCACGTGACTTTTATATTAAAATAACAAAGATACTTATAAATGCAAGTTGACGATCTGCTGCTTTTGGTGTTATGAATGAAATGTATTTTAATATCAAAGCAATTTTGTATTATTATCCCTTAAACAGTAGAGGTTTGCAGGCAAATTTGCCTGCTTATTTACTATAAATTCCCTTCTGATTTACTTTTATGAAAAATTAAAAT